CAGGGGACTGGACTCGATGACCTCTCGAGGTCCCTTCCAGTCCTATAATCTATGATAATCTATGATGCAGGGAGCTGGTTGTCTGCTAATATTGATCTGCCAGGAGTGTGCACTGGCCATGAGAAGAGCCCCAGAAGGGCTAAATTTGGGGGTTTGTCTTCACTAGACTCTTGTGTCTCCAGGTAAATGATTGCCAATGAGTTTGGGGTAGTTAACACCTTTGTGAAAACACCCCACACATTTCATCCTGGCTACAAATGTTTGTTCTTTACCCCAAGGATCACAGGGCTTAATGGGCAACATGTCTTGTGAAGATATACCCTGAAGTATATTAAGGGCTTATCTACACATACAGCTGCACCACTGCAGTGCATCTGGTGACCATGCTCTCTGCTGAAGGGAGATCAGCATAATAAACCCACCTCTGCCAGGGGCGGGAGAAGCTGTTTTACCCTGGGCCACCCTCGGAGGGGTGTAGCGTGCTGATCTGTGGTGAGCACTATAGGGGCCAGGATTTCCTGGTGAGGTAACCATCATGCATCAGTTCCCCACTCTCTGGCAGTGAGAACAAAACTGTTCTCTCCCTCCCCACTGCCATTCACAAAGAGAGCTGTAGCACCCCTTTCAGTGGCATTTACTGCCCTAGCTTCCCCTTCTTCCTGGTGCTGTCTGTGCCCCTGGGATCCCCTTGCAACCAGCTTTCGCCACCAGAGGATGGCAAGCACCGTTCCTTACAGCTCCAAGAGGGGGTGCTGAGAGTGATAGGAGGCTACAACAGTCCCCTGGAAGGCAGGTTAGGGTCAAACGTGGGGCTTGTCCCTTGGGTCGCAGACAGGGCCGGCTCCAGGCACCAGCTTAACAAGCAGGTGCTTGGGGCGGCCAAGGGAGAGGGGCGGCACCTGTGGCAATTCGGGGGCGGCAGGTCTCTCACTCCCTCCAAAAGCGAAGGACCTGCCACTGCACTGCCGCCGCCAATCGCGGCTTTTTTTTTTTCCAATTGCCGATCGCGATCGCGGGTTTTTTCTTTTTTTTTTTTTTGCTTGGGGCGGCAGAAATGCTGGAGCCGGCCCTGGTCGCAGAACCTGTAATGAGTGGCACTCTCCAATCGCTCCTCCTCATCTCTCCTCTCTGTATTCTTCATCCTTTCTAAACTGGCTGTTACCACTCAAGAAAGAGATCTTGGAGTCACTGTGGATAGTTCTCTGAAAACATCCACTCAATGTGCAGCAGCAGTAAAACAAAATGAACAGAATGTCGGGAATCATTAAGAAAGGGATAGATAATAAGACAGAAAATATCAGATTGCGTCTATATAAATCCATGGTACACCCACACTTTGAAAGATGTGTGCAATTCTGGTTGCTCCATCTCAGCAAAGATATGTTAGAATTGGAAAAGCTGCAGAGAAGAGCAATTAAAATGATTAGGGGCGTGGAACAGCTTCCACCCAATGAAAGAGAAAAAAGTGGGACTGTTCAGCTTAGAAAAGAGACGACGGGGTGTGGGGGGAGGAGCTGATAGAGATCTATAAAATCTTGCCTGGTGTGGAGAAAGTAAATCAGGAAGTGTTATTTACTCCTTCTCATAACACAAGAACTAGGGGTCACCAAATGCAACTAATAGGCAGCAAGTTTAAAACAAACAAAAGGAAGTGTTACTTCACACAACGCCCAGTCCACCTGTGGAACTCGCTGCCAAAAACGAAGGCCAAAAGTGCAACTGGATTAAAAAAAGAATGACACAAGTTCCTGGACAGATCCATCAATGGCTATTAGCCGAGATGGTCAGGGTGCAACTCCATGCTCCAGGTGTCCCTCAACCTCTGACTGCCAGATGCTGGGATTGAATGACAGGGGATGGATCACTCGATAATTACCCTGTTCTGTTCACTCCCTCTGAAGCATCTGGTATGCCATTGCCAGAGACAAGATACTGAGCTAGAAGGACCATTAGTCTGACTCAGTCTGGCCTTTCTTTCTTTCTTTCTTCATCTCCATTCCTTCCCTTTATCTCCCTTTATTCCTGAGCTCTTCCTTCCTTCCTTCTTGCTTCCCCCATTCTCTCTCACCCCTTCCCACTCCCCTCCATCATTCCTCCATTTTCTGCTGTCTCTGCAGGTGGTTGGGATGCCCTATCTTCATGAGGTCCTGAAGCCGATCATAAACCGGATCTTTGAGGAAAAGAAGTACATCGAGTTGGACCCATGTAAGATTGAGCTGAACCGGACCAGGTGAGTGTGAGAGCAGCGGGGATCCATGCCAGGGCCTGCTGGGATAAAGCTGGAGTGACTCCAGTGGCTGCAGCGGAGTGGGTCCGTATCCGCATTGCCAGACCCGAGACCAGGATCTGCCCAAAGCACCATCCGTTCAGGGGGAAACGCCTAATGTCACAAACCAAGTTGTTTGCAGCTGCTTTTCCGTAGCAAGAACTAGCTGCTCAGAGGGAAACCCCAATGCACTCTTCCCCAGACAGTACTGACCTCCCAGGAGAGGATACTGCTGAAGGTAAATCTCACACATCTAATTGGGTCTGGTCGAGATGAGGACATTGCCCAGTGAGGTGCCAGCTGGCACTGGAAGCCTTGGGGTCTCTCTTGACTGAGCTGAGTGACTAGATCAAGGCGGCATTCTGAGAAAGCGAGGGGCTAGGGATGCACACGGTCCCTCACTGCAATGCTGGCGATCTCTAGTGTGAGTGCCGCACTCTGAGTAGCCTGATGCCAATGTGGACCTGGAGGGAGGGAGGGAGGGAGGAGCTTGAGAGCCCCCTCTGGGCTGGGATTTGTGTTAGCAGTGAGCCCTCTGCTCCCTGTGCTGAGATGGGAACATGTGGGCTCGGGCTGTGGCGTAGGCCCTCCTTTATCATCTCACTTCTAGCCTCTCTTGTCCCACACACATTCCCACGGGAGTCCCCCAGGCTGGGGCCTGCCAAGCAGCAGATCCGGCGTAGGGATCTATTATTTCAGAAGGTGGAGAAAGCTGCTGGGGGGAGGCTGTTCTAGATTTGATTTTGACAAACAGGGAGGAACTGCTTGAGAATTTGAAAGTGGAAAGCAGCTTGGGTGAAAGTGATCAAGAAATGGTGGAGTTCATGATTCTAAGGAATGGTAGGAGGGAGAACAGCAAAATAAAGACACTGGATTTCAAGAAGGCAGACTAGCAAACTCAGGGAGTTGGTCAGTAAGATCCCATGGGAATCAAGTCTAAGGGGAAAAACAATTGAAGACAGTTGGCAGTTTTTCAAAGAGACATTATTAAGGGCACAAGAGCCAGGGCCGGCTCTAGGTTTTTTGCCGCCCAAACAAAAAAAACAAACAAAACAAAACAAAACAAAATCTCCGGGAGCGCAACTGCCGAAGCAAAAAAATAAATAAAAGATGTCCGGAATGCTGCCCCTGAAATTGTGCCGCCCCAAGCACGCGCTTGGTTTGCTGGTGCCTAGAGCCAGCCCTGACAAGAGCAAACTATCCCACTGCGTAGGAAAGATAGGCAGTATGGCAAGAGAGCACCCTGGCTTAACCAGATCTTCAATAATCTAAAAATCAAAAGAGTCCTGTAAAAAGTGGAAACGTGGTCAAATTACAAAGGATGAATATAACAAATAACACAGGTATGTAGGGACAAAATTAGAAAGGCCAAGGCACAAAACGAGATCAAACTAGCTAGAGACATAAAAGGTAACAAGAAAACATTCTACAAATACATTAGAAGCAAGAGGAAGACCAAGGACAGGACAGACCCGTTACTCAAGGGGGAGGAGGGGGCGGGAAACAATAACAGAAAATGTGGAAATGGCAGAAGTGCTTAATGACTTCTTCATTTCGGTTTTCACCAAGAAAGTTGCTGGTGATTGGACGTCTAACATATGAATGCCAGTGAAAATGAGGTAGTATCAGAGGCTAAAATAGGAAAAGAACAAGTTAAACATTACAAATTAGATGTCTTCTAATCACCAGGGCCTGATGAAATGCATCCTAGAATATTCAAAGAGCTGACTGAGGAGGTAGCTGAGCCATTAGTGATTATCTTTGAGAAGTCATGGGAGACGGGAGAGACTCCAGAAGACTGGAAAAGGGCAAATCTAGTGCCCATCTCTAAAAAGCGAAATAAGGGCAACCCGCGGAATTACAGATCAGTCAGCTTAACTTCTGTACCCGGAAAGATAATGGAGCAAATAATTAAGCAACGAATTTGCAATCATCTAGAAGATAATCAGGTGATGAGTAACAGTCAGCATGGATATGTCAAGAATAAATCGTGTCAAACCAACCTGATAGCTTTCTTTGACAGGTAACAAGCCTTGTGGATGGGGGGAAGCGGTAGATGTGGTATATCTTGACTTTAGTGAGGCTTTTGATACTGTCTCGCACGACCTTCTCATAAACAAACTAGGGAAGTACAACCTAGATGGAGCTACTATAAGGTGGGTGCAAAACTGGTTGGAAAACCATTCCCAAGGAGTAGTAGTTATGTGGTTCAGTCATGCTGGAAGGGCATAATGAGTGGGGTCCCACAGGGATCAATTCTGGGTCTGGTTCTGTTCAATATCTTCATCATTATTTAGATAATGGCATAGAGAGCACACTTATAAAGTTTGCAGATGATACCAAGCTGGGAGGGGTTGCAAGTGCTTTGGAGGATAGGATTAAAATTCAAAATGATCTGGACAAACTGGAGAAATGGTCTGAAGTAAATAGGATGAAATTCAACAAGGACAAATGCAAAGTACTCCACTTAGGAAGGAACAATCAGTTGCACACATACAAAATTGGAAATGACTGTCTAGGAAGGAGTACTGCGGAAAGGGATCTGGGGGTCATAGTGAACCACAAGCTAAATATGAGTCAACAGTGTAATGCTGTTGCAAAAAAAGCAAACATCATTCTGGGATGTACTAGCGGGAGTGTTGTAAGCAAGACACGAGAAGTCATTCTTACGCTCTACTCTGCGCTGATTAGGCCTCAACTGGAGTATTGTGTCCAGTTGTGGGTGCCACATTTCAGGAAAGATGTGGAGAAATTGGAAAAGGTCCAGAGAAAGCAACAAAAATTATTAAAGGTCTAGAAAACATGACCTATGAGGGAAGATTGAAAAAATTGGGTTTGTTTATACTAGAAAAGAGAAGACTGAGAGGGGACATGATAACCCTTTTCAAGTACATAAAAGGTTGTTACAAGGAGGAGGGAGAAGAATTGTTCTTCTTAACCTCTGAGGACAGGACAAGAAGCAATGGGCTTAAATTGCAGCAAGGGAGGTTTAGGCTGGACATTAGGGAAAACTTCCTAACTGTCAGGGTGGTTAAGCAGTGGAATAAATTGCCCAGGGAGGTTGTGGAATCTCCATCATTGGAGATTTTTAAGAGCAGGTTAGACAAACCCCTGTCAGGGATGGTCTAGATCAGGCCGGCACAACTCGTAAAGTGGCGAGGGCCATATGACTCCAAAGAAAACAGCTGAGGGCTGACCCTCCCCGCCCGTGCTGCCGAAACACCCCTCCCCGAGCCCCCCGAAACACAACACACACACCCCAGCCCGCCCCGCCGAAACACAACACACACACCCCAGCACCGCCCGCCCCACGGAAACAAACCCTCCTTCCCCAGCACCGCCCCGCCGAAACAGCTATGGGCCGAAAAGGAAGGTTTTTTTTTGGGGGGGGGGGTGATACTTTATCAAGAATTTTTCAATTAAAGCAAACAATTGTATGTATGGCACACTAGGAAGGCACTGACAGCGTGTGGAAGCCTGTAGTGTAGAGGGGGAAAGAAATGGCGTGCATAGGGTGACCAGATCACAGCAGTAAAATAGGACCCACCCCCTCCCTGCTCGGCCCCACCATCACACCCTTCTTCACCCCTAACCCCCCCCCTGCTGGCCATCTACATCCGTCCTAGTCAGTCCCCCACCCACCACTCACCTCCTTTCACCTCTTCCCTCCCCTGCCGGAAACCCGCATGCCCACCCCTAGAACTCCTGCTGGCTCACTGCTCGCCTCTTTGCCCACTCGCCGCTCGCTCACCGGCTCGCCCCCGACTCACTGCTCGCCTTCCCCAAGTATAAAGCCCCATTCAAAGACCCAGGGGTCACTATGTTACTGCACACAGCAGTCAATCAATGCAGTTGTAGATAAATCTCTGCATTATGCATTTTTGTATAACTTTTATATGATTTTGTATTGAACCTTGGTAATATGTTATAGCGGGCCCCTGAGGTAGTATAATTAAGGTAAAAGAAAAATGTCTTTTTGCTAGAAGTAGAATAAGATCTTCCCCCCACTTTGTAATCAATTGCCGTGTTGAATGAACGAGGTGTGAATGCGGAAGGTGTGGAAGGCAGCACCTCCAGACAGCTGCAACCCTTGGAGAGGGGGTGGGAGCCAGACCAGATCAGGCCCAATGCTGCTCGCTCACCCGGATGTAATGGGCCAGTGGTAGCCACTCCATAGTTCAGACTGATCCTACCTTACAACTAAGATCCATTTTTAACTTCCGTGTAGTTCCCCTGAGCTCTCCTTGGCCAGGTAGGATTTGTCTGGGAGGTTTGGTAACCTTCAGAAAAGGGGTTTTGCAATGAAAGTATTTCACAAATATCCATCATTCCCTTTCTGAACATTTTCCTAGCTTCCTACCCCCAAAATGGCTTGACCCCAAACACCAGGTGTCTGGCTGGGTCAGACGGGGGCCTCTGGGTGTTACTGGGGGAGAGCTGGGGGATCACAAAGACCTGTGTCATGTTTATAACATTGACTCTGTAAATTATTTAAACTGCCCTTCTGCTGAGTGCTGGCTCTGCGGCAAGGGCTGCTCTGCAGAGGAAGAGGTGGGAGCCCGGAGCGGGTGGGTTGTGACTAGGATTCTTGGGGGCAGGGCAGGGGGGATGGTGAGGAACAGGGAAGAATGATATGGCTGTGGGGTTGGATCCCTGAACTGTTAATTTCTAGACTGTCCTGCCTTTGGGTTTTTAGGGAAGCTGTCGAGTATTTGTAAGTGAGATTTGTTGATGGGCTTTTAACTGGGCTCCTCTAAAATTTACAGCTTAACTCTTCAGCTAACGAAGTGGTTCGGATTTATGTGCAGTATGTCATAGTTCTCTCTTCTCTAACACGGGAATGGACATTTGATTTGATCCTGTCCTCACTTTGCCTTTGCACTGCTGGGGACAGACTCGGCTGCACAGGTTCCCAAAGCGTGGTGGGATTGAGTCCAGAGAGCTGGGGGTGTGCACATGGGGAC